GTATAAGAAATTAATTAAAACTAATTTAAAAATGAACTCAATAACTGCCGATAAATATACAAAATAAAAATGTTTTTAGATTCTTTTTAAATAAAGGCAGTGTTCCAACATTTCTGAAGTGGTTACGCAGGCCATTCCACAATTTTGGTGAAGAGACTGAGAATGTTCTCTCACCATTTGTTTTTGTTCTTGATGTTGGTGTTGCTAGGAGTCCTGGAGAACTTGAGCGCAACGCTGGAGATGATTTTTTCTCCTGTAATAGTTCAGAGACATACCCAGGGCACAGTCCATGACGAGCTTTGTAGACAAGGAGTAAAATTTTGAAAACAATCCGATACGAAACAGGAAGCCAGTGAAGTTGCTGCAATAAAGGGGTGACGTGATCGTGCTTGGATAAACGAGTGACTAGTCGAGCAGCTGTGTTTTGAACCCTCTGCATTTTGTTAACTTGATATTTGGGCAGACCAAAGTAAAGATGGTTGCAATATTCTAGCTTTGTAGTTACAAAAGCATGTACAACCTTGGAAGTGGCCTCATCTGTCAGATATTTAAGAATTTTAAACAGATTTCTTAACAAGAAAAATGAAGTTCTACAAAGTTGATTTATCTGATAATTGAACGATATTTCCCGGTCAAAGATGATTCCAAGATTAGTAATTGTTCTAGCCATAGTGAGTTGTTCATTACCAAGGATGATCTCTTCCAGTGAAGGGCTATTCCGAAATTCAGAGTGAATTAATAATATGTCAGTTTTCTGTTTCTTGAGCTCTAGCTCGTTTCGCTCCATCCATAAGCAAATGTCAGATACACAGTCAGCAATCCGGTCAGTAATCGAGTCAATGTCATCATTTTTGAAGGCCACATAAAGCTGGGTGTCGTCTACGTACAGATGGTAGTTTAGTTTGTGCGTTTTGATTACTTCAGAAATGGGTATGGTATACATCAGATACAGAACAGGTCCCATAACGTAGCCCTGAGGCACTCCTATCAATAGATCACGAAAGTTTGACCGCGAATGCTCGATGTTGAAAAACTGCAGGCGATCATGTAGGTAATCTTTAACCAATTCAAGGCGGTATCACTAATGCCGAAATGCTGGTGCAATCTTGTGAGAAGAATCTCATGATTGACGGTGTCGAAAGCCGCAGACATAACTAACAGCACCAGGATGACATTTTGACCGCTGTCTACTGAAAGCAAGATGTCGTTGTGAACTATAATGAATGCCGTCTTTGTGCTGCGCAAGGTTTTGTAAGCAAATTGTAAGGGCTCGTATAAATACAAGAAGTTTTAGGAGCGGTGATGAGATTTTTTGCGGTAGCCGGCAAGTCATTATTAGCGATTGTGATGAGAAATTTAATATCGAGAAGAGCTGTAAAATGCAAATAAATTTTGTTGAGAATAGCATTGGGTAGTTAGCTCACGCACAGCAGTAATACTCCATACAATATGGTACACTCATTAGGAAAGTAGAAAACAAGCGAATCGAGAATATCCAAATAATAACAAGAAATATTTTTATTCATGCTCTCAGCCTTCAACGCCCAACTAACCAGATTTCCTCACCATAATGATCCCCGTGGAGTCGATGGAGCCTACCACTGCCTCATTAAAGGAACTGGTAAAGTCAAAGCCCTCTCTTTTATCCAGATGGAGAGAATTTGCCGCAAACACAACTGTCCATGGGTTACGATATGTCGTTCAAGCGTCTCTACCTGGTTATAGACGACTGGTGTGGGCAATTTTACTCTTCGCAGCCTCAGGTGCTTATTTGTACTATTCGACAATAAGCTTCAAAAAATATATTTCTGGACCAATAAGAACTGAAATTTCGCAAGAGACACCTCGGGATGGCTTGAAGTTTCCTGCGGTTACAATCTGCAATTTAAATCAGTTCATGAAAACAAAGATAGACACGACCGATGAGGACGAAAACTTTGAAAAATTAGGATTAAACATCAGCGGATGCAGTGAAACAAGAACTGTTCGTGGTAATCTGACATGTGGCCAAGCTTTGTTGTGCGCTTTTGCTGATCATGGTCCCCTTCTGGTGGACAACTGTAACTATTCGACCAGGCAGAGAATAATAAGTGTTCTTAATCACACAAAACGTATCTATGACGAAAAAGAATTCCTTGCTAAGTATGGGCATGACCTCTTTGGCAATAACAGCATGAGTGATTCAAAACACTGTGGTTTTAAAGACCTGGAACAAATAACCTGCTCGGAACATCACTTCATTCCAGTTGTTACAAATGATGGCATCTGTTACACATTCAATTCTGGTTATAATGGGTCTACGAAGAGTAAGCTGTTTCGTTCTTTCTATGAAGGTTCAAATTTTGGTTTAGCCATTGGTCTAAACCTTCAAACAAATGAGTCCACATTCAGTGCCTCCTCTAGTGGCTTAGCAGTTAATGTTCATGACCAAGACACCTATGTAAATTATCATACTGCGTTTAAAGTCCAGCCCGGCGCACATGCGTCTGTTGCAATCAAGATGACCCAGGTAAGTATATAAATACGTCATTTTGCTTACGATGCCATCAGTTAAACTGTATCCGCCCAAAGGGAAATAAAGCCGGCGTACTGCCGAAAGGTTTTCTCTCGTATCATCGATATGAAACGTTTCAATTTTGGGTACTATGTAAGGCATCCAAAGACCCAACGCCTGTAACAAAGAAGGCTAGTAAAACTGATCGAAATGTCGGCCTATTTGAAATGCTCTTTGCGGATGAACCACCTTGCATTTTTATCGGACATATTCAAACGAATCTCAACGTATTGCCATTCTTGTGCATTTACTCAGAGCATCATATAAAGGTTAGCCCTCATATAGACGTCTTAGGAGACAGTCTTCCGTGGGACAGGCAAGTAGTTGGTTAACCTAGGGGCTCCTTACTCTTTCAACTCACTTCAGCTTCCTCCCTCTCTTTTTCTGCCTTGATGTATACCATTTTATCGTTTTTTAGTACAAAAGACTCCAGGCGCCCTTCAGAACAAATTGCAGCAAAGTGGATAGCTTGGCGGGGATCAAGTCATACACGAAAGATGGCTGCATCTATCAGTGTCAGTCAAATTACAGTATGGATAAATGCGGATGCCGAGGAAACCATGCTTTACCAGGTGGTATAAAAGATAAATTTTGTGCTTTTACGAATGAGCTTCAATTCAGAATTGTCTTGGGTACCAATGTGTTATCGACTTAGCTCGTTCGGTCAAGATGTGATCCAAGTTTTTTTTCTTTTATAAAATTGCCTGGACAGTAAAGAATGTACCATATGACATAAGATACTGCACCACAGAATTGCCTGTTCAAGCCACGAATCTTTCTTTGTTTTGACCAGCTAAATACTTTTTCGGACTGTGATATCGCCAGAATTTGTGTCAGACATTTTCTACAAGATAAATTTGAATTGCATAGAAGTTATAAGGTACATAAGCAAGGTACAAGCTCTCTTCACATTTTGTAAGATTAAAGCTGGTACTCTCAGGCTTATCTTTCTCGTTCGGTAAGCTATTAAGAACAGCATTTGCTTTATTCGGTGCCCGGGAAAAGCTCATATCGTGTTATATTGAAACTTATTCTGAAGACGTTTTTGCCTCCACTATAGCATGAAACATTTCAAAGTTGTGCCCCGTTTTTATGATCTCCTTGTTCGACATTTTTAGATCTGCGGGGTTTACCTGTGTGTTCCTTTCAAGACCGTCGGTGTCTTCTAAAAGCAAAAAGTAAGAAATATATTTTTTAAATAAATCGTTCTCACTCCCTCGGTGAGCAGCTAACCTAATCTATTGGTTCATCGTCTCGGCCGCTATTTTATTGAATTTCAAGCCAAAATGGCAGCCGTGACATCGTGTGAAAGCGTTCTATAAAAAATAATTATTATGATTGTGATTTTCTTTACAAATTCTATCAGAACATGTTCTAGAGTTTTAAACGAATACAGACTTCACTTGAACTGTTCACTGATGTAAGATTCATTAATTGATGGACTGTGTGATTGATTAAATCGTACGCTCGAAGGCGTCACCTGCTGAGTGACGATTGTTTATTGGCGACGGCTATGTTAAACACTGTAGAATGTTCAGTACAATGTTCAATATTTGTTTTTTATGAATGATTTTCAGGGGAATTTAACTTGACGGAATGTGGTTGCAACAGTGCATGTGAGCAGACAGTTTATGAATCACGAGTCTCATATGCTAAATTTCCGGACAATACGCTATTAAGGATATTTCGACAAACCAATAACTTCAGCGAGAAATACCTCAGGTAAGTGAGGTTACATATAAGTGATCATTTGCCTTTGAACGGAGCTAAGAGGAGGAAGAAAGAGAAATCGTGAAGGAGCTAGTATTCTTTATTTAGAATAGCATGTGAAATAGAATCTCTGAGCACGTTTTCAGATTTCTGATTGACTCTGTTGAAAAAAGGACCAGAAATATTTATGTTTCTATTAAATTAATACATTTCTTGTGTTTTCCTTTTCAACTTGTAAGTGAGAACTTTGTCTATCTTCAAGTGGGATTTCAATTTTTGTCTTACGAGAAACGCGAAGATGTCCCTGGCTACACAGCTGAGAGCCTTTTCGGTAAGTTAACTATAGAGAAGATTGGCCTTGTTTAGAATAAAAAATGCTTTGGCTACACAAAAGCGCTCACAGAAAAAAAAAATAAAAAGGCAAAAGCCCGCCATTTTTAACGGAATTCTCCGGATTTTCTCAGGGATTGGATCTATGTCAGCCCAACAGTTCCGGCTGTACCAAAAACAAATTCGTTGCTGTATTTTCACACGAAAGACGAAATCACCGTCTCTCCCCACTCCCCCGTCTCTTCCACCACTGTGGATGATCTAATTTAAACCCTTCTTCGCACTGTGAATTTTTTTCTAAGAAAAATTCAAACAAACATAACAAAGACAAAAAGGGGAAAACATACGAGAAAAATTCCAACCCACTATTGAAAAAAGGCTTGTATGTATCAATATATCGAAATATATCAATATTTCTTCTCGTCTGACATTGCAAAAGCTTAGAGTTTCAGTAAATCCTCTTGAGATTATGACGGTTTGTAGGTGTTTCTGAAGTGCTGATAAACGTACTCTTCCCAGTTCCTAAGAAAGAGAAACCCAAGGAAAAGTGCCTTCGGCAAGAAAGTTACGTAAAACTGTATTAAGCCTTTACTACCTTTTGTTATGGAATTGAATAAAGGGAAACAAGAAATAAATCATGACTTTCTTGATTTAATAATAAAAGTCATTTTCGTTTAGGTGAGCTTGGAGGTAACATGGGTTTGTTCCTCGGGTGCAGTATTCTGACCATCTGTGAGTTCCTCGACTTTCTATGGGAACTCGTACTATCCAAGATAAGGAAACGTCCTGTGGAAGTAAACACGGAGCCTGCATAACCAGCGCAGATGGATCTTACCGAGCATGCAGCTGTGGTGTCGTCTTATATAAATTTACATACATTAATGTAATTCCTACTTTTATGATAAATGTTGTGAACAGCCATTTTTAGAAGTGGGGTCATTTATTTGCTTTTTGATATTGATTTATCATGCACTGTTACTGAGCAGTTACGAGGCCTTTTTATACAAATCTTCATAACTGACGATCAGTGTAATGCCTTCCTTAAAGATAGTTTGGCGCATGGGTGAACAGCTAGTGTGAAGAGAGATCACGGAAGAGTGTGTTTTATTTAGTTGCATTTTTGCACAGTATAATACCCATGTATAGTTGACTTACCTAAGACCTGATTTCTAGTATATAACTAGGAAAATCCTCCCGCTGTTTGTGAGCTGGAATCGGAACCTACCGAACTGAAGTGAGACGTACATGTAGTTCTCCAACTGTTTCAATGGTGAAGAACAAAAAGAGATTACAAACAAAACGAAGTAAGAATAAATTTGGATAAAAGCGGATCGAGCTGAGACGGCAACTGAATCGCTTATACAGCTTTTTATTTTTTAACGTAATCTCTGACACATTCATACTTCCGTATATGACTGTAATGCCTCATTTCACTTGCTTTGCGGCTTTTGTAGTAAATAACAAAATCGAAATTTTAAAGCACATCAGCTTAATATAAAATTATTCATAGAGAAGGAGATCAGACAACCGTTGGAATAAGGTTTATACAATGGATGAAGTATTTATCCTGATTCTCTCTTTATTTCTCTGTATAGTACCGGAATTTACTATATGGATACTGATGAGACACCAATTATTATCCTAATAGAAAATAATTTATCGTGACGGCGGGCAGTGATCGTGCCATTCATAGCAACTCCTGTGAAGATGACGATGTCGTCAAGGTGGTTCCACTTTTTGACATTACCAGCCTTAGAAATGCAGTTTAAGATTTTCTCTGATTTAGGTATCGTAATAATATCTGCATAATCATCACTATGAATTTACAAAACAATTATGATTAGATGTATGATAAACGAAAAAAAATGTACACGTATGGATATGTGTGGCACACGAGGCGCAGCCGAGTTGTTCCTCTAGTACTCCTGACACATTTTAACGTTTTTTGTGATTTATTACTGCACAGAATCACAGCAACACGGTATTTGTTTGCCTTTTATGATGTGACTCTCTTTAAATAGATTTTGAGTATGAACCTATCCAAATACGTGTATAATATAAAATTGCACCAATCAAAATGAGTGCGTTATATAAAAAACGCACCAATCAAAATGCGTGCATAATATAAAATCGCTGCGCTCACTTGTGAGAGATATTATCGCGCTTGAAGATGTAATATCCTCAATTTAACACAGTCATTTGCTAACTTTGTTATACTTTCTTAAGTCACTCAAAATTATGCACTCTGCTTAGCGGAGCTGCGTTTGATGAGAAATCTTCTTTTGACTTGTTTATTTAGAGAAACCACTATCCTAAGTTTACCTTGTACAACTGGAATAGGAAACAAGTGTCTCGTATTCCTGCCCCATGCATGCGTTGCTGCAGGAGCACGCTGACAAGTTGACTTCTCCTTAAATTAGATAAAGTTGATGGTATACTTAAGAGACAGTTTGTGTGTCTCACAACTTTATTGCGCAGGCTTAAGCTTACAATAAATTTCCTTCGTTTTATTGTGTTTTTTGTTTGTTTGTTTGTTTGCTTGTTGTTTTATGAAATAATGAGAATGGATGTGCAAGGTTGAGATGAATTTAATGAATATCAAAGAAGCATTAGTGCAAACCTTGCAGCCCAAAACTGCAACGTCCACCTTTAGTTAGTGTTATGTTTGCCAAGTATCGCGAGATGCAGCCATCTTTCGCGTTGGTAATTTTGCGAAGCTTCTTCAAATTTGCCAATTGACAAGATAGACGATAAGAATCCCTAGAGGGAGACAAAGAGAGGTTGAGTGAAGAGAGTGATAGCCCCTTAGTTCAGGTTTTGAGAAAGGTCAACCCACCACCCGCCTCTCGAAGGGAGTTCTGTTTCCAGAGAAGTCTGCACGAAGGTTAAACTCGATATGGGCTTTGCTGGAGTGACTGCACAGCAAGTCCAATGAATATGCACAGTTAAAAATTCAAAATGGCTCTAGGAAAAGGGGCTTTACAAAGGCCAATACGGCCGTTGTATTATTCAATAATTAATTAGCAGGCGATTAAAATCTTACAGCGAGAATATTTCTAACATTCGCCTGGAACACCATCATCCTCGGGCTGAGATGTGCTGCGGGAATCTTCCTTCCTATTTAAAAACTTGTTTTGTGAACTCTTTCTATTCACTTCGCTACAAGGGTATGTTTCTATTTCTCTTCTTCGAGTTTTGACCCTTATTCGGAGCGAAGGCAAAGGCTAACCCTTGAAACGTCAGCTTTAGAAATCTGTATATTTGCATAATCAACTCAGCTGATCAAACCAAATAAATTATCCGGCAACACAGTTTCTATACAAACAAATCCCTTTTGTGACGGAAGGAGGGAATGACGGACTGACAAACTGAGTGACTAACGAACTTGATAGACTTTTGTATTTTTTGTCTGGTTTATTTTTGGCTTCACTTTTCTTGTTCTTCCTTTGTTTGCTTTTTCGTTTTTTGGCCTGAATATACGAAAATTGTTTGGCTTTATCTTCAAGTCAAGTTTCGGAATTAAGTCTTCCTTTACCGCTGTATTATGGCTAAATTCATACCTTCTTACTTTATTAGAATCTTAACTATACGCCAGAAAAGAGTTTTTTTAGTTTCTAGGAATAGTTTTGATGCACACACCAATTCTATTTTGTCACACTCCTAGCAAATATAAAAACAGCATTCTTCCTGATAGTGGCAACGATATGTCCTTTATCAAACTTTGACCTTCATTCGTATGACACCAGCGGTAAAAAGTTCCTTCCATTTACTCCTCTGCAGGACAAACGTAAGGACACTTTCATTCCGTTCTCAGGGTCCTAAATTCTTTGATTCTCTCAGCCTTGAAATTCAGAACGCTCCTAGTTTTGTCTCTTGCGGGACAAACGTAAGGACACTTTCAATCCGTTCTCAAGGCCCCAATTTATTTAACCCTTTTGCTCTCACGATCTCATTGGTAATTCTGGTAACCGGTCAAGTCGCCCGAGAGTCATCTCGCCCGAAGTCATGTCGCCCAAAACCTGCCCGAAATTTTTTAGTAATGTCGCCCGAAAAAAAAAAGTTAAGTCGCCCGAAGAAACAAATACTAAAAAGATCGGAATTTCAGACTGTAAATAGGCAATAACGTTGAGAAATTTTTTATCATTAAAGCGCTCTTTGTTTCCATCAACACCATGAAGATTCTTAAAGTGTTGTTCGTTCCTAACAACAAAGGGAAACGTTGTTCGTTTCCAACGACAAAATGAAGCGTTGTTCGTTTGGTAAGTAATCGTTTCTTACTTACGGACGTTTCGTAAGCTTGAGAAACTTCTTCTTGGTTTTTAACCATACCATGAAGACTGACTACACAGAAATCGATGGTATGCTCGGAATTGAAATGTGTTTTAGTAACGATTCTAAAAGCGTTGTTCGTTTCTAACAACAAAGGGAAGCGTTCTCCGAGATGACTCTCGGGCGACTTGACTGTAAACCGTAATTCTCTTTACCGTCTGCCATACAATTCTTATGATGCTAGTTCGAAGAATTTGGTACTGAATCAACTAACACTTCCCTTCTTGATATTTTCCTTTATTCTCATCATTTGTCCGCTTGATACAATATTGATACAATATTGATCAATATTGATGTCGTAACGAGAAATTCTGTCTTGGTCACTTATTGGAGTTAACTATTCGTTCTCATAGCCTTGAAATCCTGGATACTCCCTGTTTTGTTTCTTCTTTCATTATAGGAACATTCTACTTTCCTCTTAGTGTGTACAAGTATTTTTCATTTCTCTTTTTTATACATTCCCTACACTTCTTTTAACCTTTTCAAAGACTAAATTCGTACATTATGTATACTTACAAATTTTACATTAAGTCCTGCCGATGACAAAATTGTTAATTTTGTATAAGCAACTGGATACACCAAAAATGGTACTTTACAAAAGCCTTTTTGACTTCTGTAGGTTATTTTGCCTAGCTGATATTTTACTAATAAACTGTTTAGAATATTTGTGGCAAACTAATAAAATAAAACTGAAACTGTTGTTAATATAATTTCCATGTTTGAATGTCAATAGACAATCTAATTTCACCGGATTACTATGAACTACTACTGAACTAAAAAAATTAAATGATACAAAGGAGCGTACAGAGGTTAACTAAGCTTCTTTAAAAGGGATAATCACTAATGTCAGAAGAAAGAACAAATTACGCAAAACCTGTGTGAACCTTTATTCCAAGAGAGTTCAATAACAAGAAGTCAATAGAATCATCACGAATTCGAATAAGTCAATTTTTTAATAACATATAACATTTTGTTTCCTCTTTCTTACGCATAAATTGTATTTCTGTTATGAAATAAATGGGAAGGTTTGTTTTTTACTGCGAAGATGTCGAAAAATGAGGTCGAAAGGCAAGCGTGCGATCCTTTACATGGCGGATGAATATTCATCCGGTGAGTTTTAGCCCAATTGTTTGCCAATTTTTTAATTACTAAGGGTTCGGGTCCGACTTGTCAATAGACGACTACAATTACCCCACGCGAGGGTTGCATAATGCTTATGCACCAATTTTCTCTTCTTTTCTTTTCTCTTCCCTTTCCTCCTTTTGTTTTTTTTTTTTTGTTTGTTTTTTTTTAATTTTCTTTTCGTTTCTGACGAAAATACATGAGCTGTGATAATAACCTTAGTTATTAAGCTTAGGCAACATTGGGGTCCAGCGATGATTTTGTTTTTTCTTCCGGATACTGTTATAGCTACATTGCCATCTGGTATTTGAAAGCAGACACAGCCTAATTTGAATAATCATTAGATTAACTTCATTTGCTTCTAACCCCACCGTAACTTTTGGCTTAACAAGTGTATTAAGCCAAAAAAAACATATCTGACAGGAACCTTTTCTCACGTAATGTACAATCAGGGGGTAGATTTAAGTCTTCCTTTACATTTTCACCTTGTAGGAGTCTATCATGCTGACTGGTGGCTAATTAAAACTCTTCCAACTACACGCTGTGTACTAATAAACAATCTACATTTGTTTGGAACACAAGTGAAATGACTAGGACTTGTAGACCTCATTTAAATTAAAATTAATCAGTTTTAGCGTTCCTGCCATCAATTGCTTCGTGCGTAATTTACCGTGAAGAGCTTTAAGAAGATCAATTTCTTAAAAGAACGCCGATAAAGAGGGTTTCCTTCTAATATTTGACAGTTCCAAACCATCGCTTTCCAGAAACAAGGTATGTAATTTACATAGTTTTATCTCACCACTAGGGAATCTAATCCTCACTCTTTTGAATTGCCAAATGTCGAGGAAATGTCTCGAAACTAATTAGCCAAGATGCCATCTTCTTTGGTATCATTGACACATGAACATAATGGCACCTGCATGCCCAATTCATGTCTCTTTCCTATTGTTTCCATATTTTGTGCATTCCAGTCACGTTTTCCAAGGTCATTCCTCTTTGACGAGGATATCCTAAATTATTTAGGTTTAAGCTCTAGTCGCACACGTTTTAATTTTTATATCTATTAAAAACGAATAGGCAAATTTTACTCAATACCTTAAGACGGAAAAATTGAATTAACACTGAGCCTGTTGTTGGCTAGAAGATATCTATTGTGCAGTCAAATTAGGACGCTTTTAGGAAGAGGGTTTTTTCATAACTGTTCCGGTAAAACTATTTTCTACCCAAACGGCTTTTGTGGTAATTTTCTCTCAACAAGACTTTTTGAATTGTTATGATTTAATTCTCGTTTTCAGGGGCGACTTAATGCCTTCGCGTGCACTGCCAGTCACTATGACAACCCGTGTAAAATCGTTCGGCAACTGTTCTACAGATACCTGTGAGGAAAGTCACCAGAAATCCCCCAATGCTTCTAAATGGAGAATATTTGCCTCGAATACTACTCTTCATGGACTGCGACAAGTCGTCAGAAACGAGTCGTCCTTTTTCAAAAGGTTTATTTGGTTTTTGTTTCTGTGCACTGCCGCTGGGACATATTGTTACCTCTCGACCATTAGTGTCACGAAATATTTCTCCCGACCTATCAAAACTGTAATTTCGCAAGAAGCTTCAAGTAACGGCTTGAAGTTCCCAGCTGTGACAATCTGCAATTTGAATTTTTTTATGAAATCCAAGATAGACACAGCCGAAGAGGATGAGAACTTTGTAAAACTGGGCTTAAACATCACCGGTTGCAGTGATCGTGAATTTCGAAGAGTGCGTGGAAATCTCACTTGCGGTCAGGCGTTGCTGTGTGCCTTTGACTGGTTTGGGTATGCCATAGTGAGAGGTTGTAACAAAACTGTACGCCAGAATATCGTCGAAGCTTTAAACCGCTCCTCAGAACGCATATTTAGCCAAGAGGAGTTCCTCACCAGATATGGCCATAACATAACTGACATGTTTTTACTTTATTGTCGTTTTATGAAGAAAACCGAATGTTCAGTTGAGGACTTTGTTCCAAAGCTAACCGAAAGTGGCATTTGTTATACGTTCAATTCTGGAGAGAAAAGCCCAGTTCTTAGAACATTATTTGAAGGTCCTGATCTTGGTTTAAATATCCTCCTCGATGTTCAAACAAATGAGAGTACCATGGCTGATTTTTCACACGGATTTAAAGTGATTGTACACGATCAAGATACGTTTGTAAACCGTCACATTGGATTCAACATTCCCCCAGGATTCCATGCTACGGTGGCTGTCAAACTGAGAAAGGTAAAATCTGATCATAATCATATTGATCCATTCATCGCTTGAATTTGGACAACAAGGTTTCACGTTTTCTTTTATTTATATATGTTAAGAATGTTTGGGTTTTTGCGGAGTTCGTTTTTTTGGTCCTTCTTTCTTCCACAATGGTTCACACCTGAGTTGGCGAAAAACTTATTACTAAGGCCATTTTATTTACTGGTGATCTGGAGAGAAAGCAGTCCACTACTGAAGTAGGAAAGATCGAAAAATGAATAAATAAACAAATTTGTGTAAAGGAATTAAGTAATCTTCTTAAGGATCAATTATAATACGTTATTATCATGGCATTTACTCCGTCACAGAACAACAAAGACAGAAGAGGTAACCCACTCTTTGATGCATTCAGAACTTTTAAACTACTTTGTGCCGGACACCAACAAGCCTTTTCCAGTCATCAATGCTTTTTTGCTAACCAAATAAGTTACTAATGGTAAACATGCCTTCCACTTAAATTATTGCTCTCCCGTGATTATCATATTTTCAGCATATCAGATTACCAAAACCATATAAGACAAAATGTCGGCAGGAAAAATTGCCTGGGATTGGTACCTACACAAAGGACGGCTGCATCTCGCAATGCTTGGCAAACATGACATTAACTAGATGTGGGTGTCGCACCATTGCCATGTTACAAGGTTTGTGCGGCATATCTTTGAAAGTTGATATTTTTCATCGCCATTTTACATTTTTTTTCCCAATGATATCAAAACAAAGGTAAAAAAAAGCGAAACCAAACAAACAAACACAAAAACAAAAAAATAAAAAATTACATTTAGCTTGGCCTGCGTGTCGCGATTGAACATTGACATTGTGTTTAATTTTTTATACTTTTATCTTGTTCGTACGCATTGCGTGCCTATGCGTTGTGACGTCTAGGTCACATGATTAAAGAGACCTTGTAGTTGAGAAAGGTAAAGAAAAAGATGCGTTGTGGAAAACAATCCCTATTTTTGTGGAGGGAGCGATTTTACACGACACTGCATTCTTAAGTTGTAACATAAAGGAAGGTTTGATTAGAAAAGCAACCAGTTGTCATCAGAGTTGCACACTTTAGTTCCCTATAAAGGAGCTACGCTATATTATTTAAACATTTCCAGTGAATATTTTTGTCCACTTTCAGGTCAGACCGATGCACCTCTATGTTCCATGCGGGAAATGAATTGTCTTGTCAAAACCGAAAGTGAGATAGGTAGGTAAGATTTTCAAAATTGTTGTAAAAAAGACAAAAGGCAAAGTCTGCACTCAAGCCAAGTAGCGCAACCAGTAGGAGCTTACCCCAGTTTCAATAGCAGAAAGCGAGTAGGAATATTACTACTCCCCCCTGGATGGGATACCAGTCCATCGCAAGGTTCCTCCCCTAGCATTTCATCAGGCTTTCCTAAAGGTTACCCGTTACTCATCTATACTCCCGGGTGGGGAAGAGCACTGTGAGAGAAAAGGTTTCGTACCCAGGACACAACGAGTTGTACCGGCCAGGTCTTGAATCAGGACCTCTCGAACCGGAGTCCAGTGCTCTGACTATTAGACCACTATCTTTTTTCCTTATAAGGTAGAACTAATCAGAATGAATTGCTATATTTTGAATTCAAAGTTTCTGAACGAAATAACAGTTCGTGTAAGTATATCATCACTGAGACTAGTTTTGATTTTTAGGAGAAGACAACTTGTCAGCGTGCTCCTGCAGCAACGCATGCACAGAACTGGAATACGAGACACGTGTTTCCTATTCCAAATTTCCTGATAACTCAATAATTGATATCTTGCATAATATCTTTGGAAAAAAAGAGAGCTCCAGTTACATGAGGTAAACTTAAGTTAATGTTAACTCTAAATAAGCAGGTAAGGAAACGGTTTCTCAACCAACTCATCTCCACAATGTAAAATGCAATGGCAAGTGGCTCGAGAAACACGAATTTCATTCTTGAGTGTTCAGTCATAAGCGAGTGATATGATGTCATCCACAGGAGAAAATATACGCCCATGCACATGCAGACATGTTTTGTTCGTCGTATAGACACTGATTAACAATAATTTTCACTGTACAGAGAAAACTACGTCTTCCTTCAAGTCGGTTTCCAGCACTTGGCCTATGAAAAGCGGGAAGATGTTCCTAGTTACAAATTAGAGAGTCTCTTAGGTAAGTCAGCTAAAACAGTGCTACATGTATGTGTAGACTTGAACCAGATGGGCAAAAATTTCTTTGAACACAAGATGGATTTTTTTCTTGTTGATATATCTTGGCTGACACAATGTACACTGGCACTTTAATTTAAACTAATGGTAATATTAAAAACTTATAATAACTTATAAAATCTCATTCTCTTTGGCGCATTGGCTTACTGTGCCACCTTTTGCTCATTACAGCAAATTGATCAATAAAGTTCTTGTCGATGACTTGTTACAGGTGAGTTTGGTGGCAACATGGGCTTGTTCCTTGGGTGCAGCTTATTGACTCTGTGCGAGTTCCTCGACTTTGTGTGGGCTGCTGTAACGTCCCGGATGAGAAGACGTTCCGTAGAAATATCACCGAGTACTGGCACCATCTCATAAACGACGCCAACATATGAATTCTACGTCGAAGATTCCTTGAAATACCGTGCAGCAATAGTAGGAAGAAAAAAAAAACAACCGTACTTATTTGTTTAGGATAGAGCAGCGCTGGTTGACAGAGAGAAACGAAATCAGGGAGCGATTGACGTCACTGAAGACGTTGTCAAGGCTGATAAAGAACACGTCAGGTTTTACGTCAGCTGAACGTTTGAGTAAAAAACTCCTTCACTTCAGTATCGTCCTAAGTCCCAAGGGCTTTTTTCTTCACCGTACTGCTTTTCTTCGTTACAACACTGGAAAATAGTTCCTGTGGTTTCTGTATTATCGGCGACAAGTATCACCTTGTGATGGCTGATTTGAGTTTCCATAAACTACTATTGACTTCCGTGCAATAAAGAGTTTCTGGAGCACTTTTTGAATATCGAATAAACTTTGCCACTAATCGATATCAAACTACGAGTCTTTTTTGTTGCTTTTATTCGTTTTACTTCTATTTAATTTCCTTTTAATATAATATATTTTTTCGAAAAGACACTGTCGAGTTGTTTTTCTTTCTTGAATTTGAAACTCAAACAACAAAAGAAAGTAAAAAAGAAAAAAATGCTGGCAAATCAGAGCTCTACATCATTTTTCCTCTAAAGCGAAAACCAACGCCTTTTTATCAAACGAAAGATTTAAATTTCTATTACCTTAAAATAGCAAGTTCATTGAGCACCCTACCCCGATTTGGAACGGCTCAATGTTTTTTGTTTGTTGTTGTTTTTTTTTTCATAAACGGCTTTGGTTCAAAAGCCAAACTTCCCTTGCTGGTTAATTTGGTTTTTTAACTGAGTTCACTTGATAACAGTGATAATGTTCGTAAGTCAGCTCAAAGAGTTTCGACGCTGACGTTTCGAGCATTAGCCCCTCAGTCTGACGAAGGGCTAACGCTCGAAACGTTAGCTTCGAAATTCTTTACGGTGGCCAAGTTACATTACAAATTACCTTGTTATACTCTCCCACCGACACGGCACCACAGTTTCTTAAGAACCTTACCCCCTTTTTCCATGCCGGTGTCGAATCAAAGGTAAAGATTACTGTATTTTGAAAACGTTCTTGTGGAATCTCGATTCTATTGATTTTGAGAATACCACACTAGGTTTGAGCAGTGCTCTCTGTTTTGCATTGAGAATAGAAGAGCTTTTCCATACATGGTAATTAGTAGCAGGATCCCACTGTAGTGAACTGTGGAGTCCAAAGAAGTCAAATTTTCACACGAAAACAAACTTTTTGCTGTATGCAGAGGTAGATTAGATTTGGGAACCGATTAACCAGAGTACTTGTAATTAAAATTCTGGTTATATTTTCTATATGTTTTGGTTTTTCGTTTAATTAAATTTGGTTGGTGCAGTAATCTGAAAGAACAGAACTTGGCAAGCAAACGACCTATGAACTATTTAGGGCGCTGGCAATTGGTGGTAACCGGGAATAGAAGGTTAAACCAGCACAAGTAATTTTGGTATCTCTGTAATTATTTATTTGTGCATTTCTCCCTTGATTAGTTATATGTTATGTAAAGTTTCATCTTCAAACTGGACGACAAACGCAAAAGAAATGCAAATGATACTGGCAAACTATTGTTTGAAATATAGACCGGATAAAATTTTAATGAAAGTGTTAATTCATTAACCTGTCGACGCTCTGGGTAGTTTGCCAGAAATTAAATGCTTATATGAAATGATATCCTGGCAAACTGAGTAGTTTACAAGACGCTCCAAAAACTAGTTGAAGACAACAACCACCTGAGTAAAGCATACTCCACGGAAAAAATCGTCAATTTATGCAAGGTGGGTTAAGATCAATGTTAGGAAAGATATTTAAAGCATCTGCATTTGACAGCCTGCTCCGGTCATCCAGCATTTCAATAGCGGTTTATTGTTAAACGCATTTGATCCAGTTTAATGTCCATTCACATCGGTTCTTGAAACAGTTCACGCCAAAGTCTGAGACTGATTACTGGCAAACACTTGAGAGAATTAAATTTGTCTATGATAGTTCCTTTCTCCTAAATTTTTATTATCATTTAAATTAGTGCTTTAAGATACCTAAAATTCTAGTCCTTTCCTCTTATTTTCTTAACGTTAAGTGGAAAATGAAAGCTTATAACAAGCCAAAGTAAATACTTACGGAACTGATTTCAATTTCAAAAAATCTCGCGCCCATAGTTACAAAGGTAATATTTTGAATCAACGCTTTCTCAGTTGAGGTGAGGTTTCCCTACCTACGTATATCGGCTACATTACGGTCACATTTTAGCATCAATTTTACAGACATTTCAATAAGAGCAAAAAAAATACTTTATTCACTCAGTCGTTTCCTTTTCGAGAGCTCTGGCTGAACCTCCTTCGAACGTAGCATAGGCATAGCTAGTTTGATGAGTATTATTCTCTTTATTCTCTGTAGCATAGTAGCATCCAACTGTGAAGGCGGCAAGTCTAAGTTCTGATGCGTCACGTCCGACGAAAACGTTTTCTCGAGCCAACGCTCGTAACGAAAGTTTGACATATTTCTTTATTTGCTTCCCTTAATTTACAGGACTGAAAATAAAGCAGCATTTCTGACTCTTCACTCAGTAGCATGAATGCTACCCAAGAGAGCGAAAGCGGCGCGTCCAGTTATTGGAAAGACGAGGTGGAGGCTCGCCAGACATCTGTTTATTCCAGATGGAAAGCATTTGCATCCAGGACAACTCTTCATGGGATAAGCTACATCTTTGATAGTAGTCTTCCCATACTTAGAAGGGTTATTTGGCTGATATTTCTCTGTGCCTCTTCTTCAGCCTTCCTGTATCTTGTGACCATAAGCATAGGCAAATTCATTTCTCTGCCAATGAAAACAGTGATTACGCAAGAGGAACCACCTAATGGCCTTAAATTCCCCGCTGTGACCATCTGCAACTTGAACAAGTTTATGAAATCCAAGATAGATATGGCTGACGATGAAAAAAGCTTTAAAAAGCTAGGTTTGAACATAAGTGGGTGTGATGAGATAAGAGAGGTTCGAGGAAATCTGACTTGCGGGCAAGCACTACTATGCGCTTACTTTTTGTATGCTCCCGCACTGGTGAAGGGCTGCGATGAAACAATACGCCAAAACGTAAACGACGTGCTCAACGGTTCCTCCAACCGTCTGTTTAGCGAAGAAAAATTTCTCACCAGTTATGGTCACGACATGGCTGGCATGTACATGGATTATTGCCGTTACACGTCGCAACTCTCGTGCTCCGATAAAGACTTTGTACCAACCATTACACCGGACGGTTTGTGCTTTACTTTCAACTCTGGTTACAATAACACTCCAGTGCTGAATTCTTTTTTTGAAGGTCCCGAACTAGGATTGAACATTCTATTAAATGTTCAAACGAATGAAAGCACCCTCACTGATTTTTCAAGCGGACTGAAAGTAATAGTTCACGACCAGGACACCTACGTTAACCGCCGCAGTGGATTTAACATCGCTCCTGGCACACATTCTTCGGTTGCAGTGAGATTAAGAAAGGTTAGTATCACTCAGCGCGTTCCCAAATACAAAAGCATTCAAGATTCACATAATGCTGTACTTTCTTTGAAATTTCAGACTAGATGATTCACGACGTTTTGCTGTTTCATTTTATTTTATCTTTTCTTCCGAGGTTGCTTTTCGTCCCAAAAGTCTTATATAACAATATCTAACACTCCTTGTGCGGTTGATGTTTTCTTTATTTCTTTTTATAACTTTATACAACTTACCACCTTGGTTTCTAGCTCTGTTCTGAAGGAGACTGTATGTCACCAGCTTATATGGGTGACACTTACTGAGCTGTCAATCTTTAAAACCCTCGTCGTTAATTCGCACTTGACTTGCGAACTGCATCGAACGGATTCTGAATACTCAGCACTTTACTTCGAGAAGGTGACTCTACAAAGTGACTTTCTATCCTAAATTTCTTTCATTTCCAGCTTACTTCTGGTAAAACAAGAACAAGCCTTGACATGGCCATATGAAAATTGTAGTAAACTTATTGATAGAATTAGAATTATACTTTAAAATTATCCAAAGAGAAAAAAACCTTTGAAGACTGTTACAGAACAACAGAATAAACAGAGAATTTGGAGAAGAAAGGGCGTACCCAAGGTACCACCCCTTAAAGAGTTACGTGCTTTTCACATAGGTTATCTGATTATAATTTCAGTGCGGAGGATGAAAAGCATAACTTGTTCACACCTTTAAACAACTTAAAAGAAAGATAAGTTGAACGTGCTCTAAATAAAAATTTAAGAATTATTTTCCGAATCGAATTGACCTAAAAAATGAGCCTGAAGGGAATCGCAAGTATAAAAAAGGGAATTTCTAGGAAATTCCTGTACGGGATTAACTTTTACCAGATCGATATACTTTGTTATTGATCAAACGGATTAATATAATTGAACTATAGCTTACCGAAAGATAATTGAAATATTCTATTACAAATTCCAATTACCGTAGAAACTGAATATCTGTTTTCATGTCAAATTCGAGATAGGAGAATATGGAACCTAACTAAAAATCAATGACAGCCTAAAACAAATATTTTTCAGAGTTAAATAGACTATTTACTCACAGTAAGAATAGATAACAATTGCTCTACTTGCACAGTAAGACCGCTAAAGAAATAGGAAATGGTCGACTAGCTCATTATATTTTTTTTACTGAGTGGCTTGTGCTAATATATTATTTCCATTCATTTTCCCAACACCAAGATGTGGAAGCTCTCACAATACTTCCAGATAGGATAGGGGTCAATTTTGTCGTTTGACAAAATTTCTTTCCCAGAATTATCAGCTTGACCTGGACGTCAGTTAGTATACAACGTAAATTCATATGTCAATCCGAACAAAGCTAAAACATCTCACCAAAAGGCAGTAAATGCATAAAAACGGCCTTCACGTGTGGCACACTTGAGTGAACACTCTCTCGTAGAACTTGTACTTCTAAACTTGATAAGTTGACCAGAAGGCACGAGCTTCATTTGAGGAGAGCAGAGAAACAAAAGCAACGCAATCTTTGAGTATTTTAACCCTAAATTGAAAATTGCCCAAAATTACTGTGATAATTTTGTACGTATTCTAGATACGACCTTAGCCAAACCCAAGGCACTGATATTTTTTTTGTGATTACTACACACGTTGCAGCCACTTAGTTATCATCTAAGTTCACGAACGAAAATAAGTAACCACGGAATAACATCGGAACCAATCAAAATCCAGTAAGTGCTCTTTCGGAACAATTCGTATGACCAACATTTGACGAATTTTTTGTTATTTTTCTTAAATTATTTGAAGCACATTCGACTTCCAGCACCATACAAAACAAAATGCCGACAAGATAGACTCCCAGGGTTGGGTTCCTACACGAAGGACGGCTGCATCTTTCAATGCCTCGCAAATTACACCCTGGCTCAATGTGGATGCCGCCGACTCGGATTGATAGGTTAGATATTATAATTAGAACTATGACAATAAGTAACTTAATTACATCTTTACCTGCTATTTTGGTAATAACTGAATACCAACATTGGTTACATGCCTTAAAAACTGCATTTGTGCTAAAATGATAAATCGATCGATAAAATAAAACAAAAAGTTCAAACAGGCCTTTGGTTTACCTATAAGATTGACTGAGCTTATTACATCTAGAACAATATCGCAGCTGAGTGTGGACGAATATATACTTCCTATAACATATACCCTATTCACACCAACAAGACACATTTGTTCAACTGGTTGTTGCTGAATGAAAACTGAAAAAATGAATTTTCCATAGGATTCAGGTACTTGCTAACTTGTTTTTCCAATGTGTTACATTGTAAGTCAAATAATATTAGGTTACACAGCTTCTATGAAGAAAAAAAATTTACACTGTGTCCAACAAAACAAGTTAAAACATGTTTAAGCTTTAGTTTGAATGAAGTAATAATATTCTCCACAAATAACAACAATGGTTATAACTGACAAGTTAGTAATCATAAGAGTAACTAATGGTCGAGCTACTTTAACTTGAAATCCTTTTTTTTTTGGACTTAAAAGCTTGTATCTATAAAATCTATACGGTAAACGACTTCACAGATTTTTATCTTCTGTTATATGTCTCTGTTAGAACCAAAGACGACACCCCTGTGTTCTCTCCAGGATGACCAATGTCTTAAAAAATCTAGAGGTAAGAAATATGCGACGGCGGTAACTTAACGGTCCCTAATTTAATATTCTTTCTACCTGAGCTTGATCAAATGTAAAGCTACTTCACGATCATTGAATAAAACTGGATTTTCCTCGGTAAAGAGACACCACAGAGATAAGACCAAAGTCAAAAAGAACCACGAAAAGATCAAAAACGACTAGATTAACACGGAATGTATGTCATGAACTTATGAAAATGTGTCTAGTTTTTTCTGGATTGACAGACGATTGTTCTAGGATCCGAATTTACTTAGAGCACGATTATAGCAAGCCAGTTATCACAGTTCTCTAGGAAGTAGAATAACTATAGCTATGTTCCTATAATAATCCACATACCCTGTCTTATTGCAGCAACAAATTTTATTTCATTTTTAAGGGGATTGGAATAGGTCAGAATGTCACTGCAGCAATGCATGCTCAGAGGTGGAATACGTACCCATTGTTTCTTACTCCAACTTTCCTGATGTCTCAGCAATTGCAGTTTTACAACAATTCAAGGGGAAATCAGAGACTTCTAGTTACATGAGGTATGCTCATACTAAGGGGGGTGTTATTAAGATTTTTTATTACTATTTATTTCATTTTATAAGATTTATTTTAAACCAGAAGATTATAGACATCAAAACTTGTCGCTTAAGAAAACGAAACGTGCATTATTTGACGTTTTTGGACCTTTGTAACCTACAACAGTTGCTCGCCGAGAGGCCGGTCTCTCTCCTGCAGCTTACCACCAGCATTTTGGCCTGCAAATAGGTAAATTCTAGGAGTGATGTAATTTATCTTTTTTGCTTCTTTGATTCCATCTTTTTGTGTGCAGAGAAAACTATGTCCTTCTCCAAATCGGCTTCACGCGTTTAGCTTACGAGAGGCTTGAGGATATCTCTAGCTATGGAACAGAAAGTCTGTTTGGTGAGATGGCTTCGTAGCAACAATTTAAGATTTAAGTTGTAACATCCAACGCATTGCCGCTATCTTTTTTAGACCTACAACTAAAAAGGCACGGTATTAATCACAGATTGGTGATAGATGCCTGAAAATTCGCTAGAAACCAATCACATTCTTAGATAGGGGATGTTGGGTCTCCCACTCAGGGAGGAGAACGTTTCAAGTGAAACGCTATTCGGTATGAGGGCATGAACCACTATCTCGTATTGAAGATGTTTCCAAGAGTAGTTTAGAGATGGAGATAGTTTTTTTTAATTAAAAGTGGTCATTGAAAAATTTCATTCAGGGTTCTTCAATAACAAATGCGTCTAAAAGCAATTTCAACTAATCTCTGATTAGTATAAGAACAAGAAGGTAAATTGAAAGGTTGCACTAACCATTGACTACTCAAAACAAAAACATTGAGCGGCCATGAGGACGAAAGCTGATCAATGTTTGAAATATGCGGCATAATGTAAGTGCAAGAAAGATTTCAATTTCAAAACTGTCTTTTTGTTTCAGGGGAGTTTGGAGGCAATATGGGCTTGTTCCTTGGTTGCAGCTTACTGACGTTGTGTGAGTTCCTGGACTTTTTTTGGGAAACATTCATATTCCAGATGAGAAAGCGTTCTCCTCAAATAAATGCGGACATGAAAGACACAAGTGACCCTCAGTAAAACATAGCCTTGTGACCATCATAACATTCATTTCCTTAAGTTAGTATCTCGTTTTGGCATCTAAGGACAAATAATCACAATTTGACTTATTTGCAAAGGATTTTATTAATTAATGGTGAATCCAGTTATTATTATCACTTTATCTAGTATTGTTAACGGTATCATTATCATCATAGTTATTCCTGACACATTTTCTATAATCGAAATATAAATAATAATATCGTGTTTGGTAATCAACATTTGATTGATATGACCCAGTCTAAAATAACTTTTGTATATTACCATTATTGTACATTCCGCGGAAGATTATCTATAAAAATCCCTATTGTCAATAGTAGAATATCTTGTTAACGTTTCTTTCACCATTTTTACTCTATTTCCGTTGATGTAGAGGGTAGTGTTCAACTGCACTGCATGTAGCTGTTAGCATTAAAAGGGAAGGACTGGATGAATTATAAATTTTCCATGAAGTTGTAAATATCGACATGTAAAGAATGCATTTGTAGCGGCGTAAGTTCTGAACCGGTTTGACGGATAGTGATATTAATCAGTAGTACAGACCCTTGCAGAAGATGAATTGAAATAAAGCCCTGAATTATCTTAATGATAACTCCTGCCTGTAGTTGAAGCTTTGAATTCTAGTCTGGACTGGACCCACCACATGCACTAAAACTCCTGGTAGCTAAGCAACCAAACTAAACCTGAACTAGGCGGTCATCCGCAGGAAATGGTGAAGTGACCGATTAATGCAGGTTCCACAGAATAGGGATAATATAAAAAACGCCATTTTATGCCATAATTGACCCTTTCATGTACAAACACTCGCCCAAAATACTACTAACATTGATTTTGGGAGAGAAACATGGATAAAATTTTACTTGAAAGATTAGTATTTGTTTGACCTAAGTGGCTCCGCTTGGAGCCATTAGGACTCAGTCAAAGCAGTCAAAGGTGACCACCACCGCTTAATACAGGGTGTCGCCTAGTACAGTATCGCTTAAGAGAGGTTCGACTGTAAGATCATTTGACAGACATTCCGCATACAGCACAATTAGACTTGAATGTCTTTCACGTCATAGTAGAAGTTATTATATGAATCCCGCGTGCTTCTTGATATGTACATACATCCTGTATCCAGCTACTGATATTGACCCTGTCCCTATGCTCTTTTTTGTTTTTAGGCGTAAACAAAAACAAGCTCCTTATACCAATCAATTAGAATGTTTCATACTCCTTCGTTTCCCATCTGCTCCTGAGCAATATTTCTATTCTTGTTCGCTCGATATTCCAAGATGTTCCAAGCCAGGTCAAAAAATTCAAATATTGTTAATAGACTGCAGCCCAGGAAAAGACCCATATTTCCACCGATATCACCTGAAGAAAAACACACACGTTCATTATAAACCTAAGCTAAGCCTACATTTGTTCCCCGAAGTTCTACCTCAAGTTAATTAATTCAAAGGCAACATGCATGGTGTATGGAGGATTTTTTTCTCGTTCAAAAATCGTAATTGGCTATGGTTATCAAAGATATCCACAATCTATCTACAATACAATTATTCCACCATCACTTTGCTTCTGCATCAGTAACAATACCAACAACAATAACAACAAAAACAACAAGAAGGCAAATTTTTCAAATTCTTAAATACCCATCAAGCTCCCAATCTTGTAGCTTGGACTTTCTCTCATCAGAGTGTATCCATGACGCTGATATCCAACCTGGAGGAACACTAAATTTCCCCTTAAAATGAATTTGAAACAACGCTTTTACACGAAGTATTTTGCTAAATTAACACCCATCTTATTTGGGATAAGCACGGTAACTTCTATCTCTTACTGATGGAAAACTGTGGTTGAGAATCTATTTATGGATAAATTTCTAATCGAATTCTAAAATGGACCAACACCAAAACAGTTAAGTCACGATTAATCCACTCATTCGAATGTGCATCGAATGTGCATCCTCTTAGGTACATTTTGACATGGTTACCTCTGGTATTCTACGCTTTTGTTGTAAGCGTGCTTGTATTTTAGGATTTTAGATGCTCCATCATCAGGGAATTGAGAGTAAGACACCTGAGTCATGTACTCTGTCTCCTCGCAAGGAATATCGCATGAACAGTTGAAAGGATTGTACGACTCTGAAATGAAAAAGGAAAACTTTTTTTAGAGAGCGTTTAAGTCTAAAACTTTTCAGTTCGGTTCAGAGACCTTCTCTTGTAGCTTCACCATATCTTCGATCCTTTAAAGACGATGAATTTCTGCAGGAAATGAACTCAGATATATCTCCTAGTCGACCGACGTTTTTCGGAAAATGTTTTGTTATAGATGAGTAATGGGGGTGCGTCTCAAAAGAAACTATGATGCTGTTTAAATTAACCACCATAAAGAGTTTCTAAAGATGACTTTAGAACGTTAGCCCTTGATCAGAGCAACTCTCTCAAAGATGGTCATGAAAATGTTCAACATATGTATTACTAAAGTAAACCGGTATAACTGGAGTTTCTTGTTACCTGCTTTCTGTTTCTCGCAGAAGTGGTGTTGAAAAGAACAAACCGGCGAGTTTGATGGCACTGAGATGCAAACAGGAAATATCAGATTTATTTGAATAATTAATACAACATGACCGTGGACTGTGAGTGTTGTCACTCAGCTTGTCCCATGGAAGGTCAACGTACCCCAAGGAAGGCCACCGGAGTCTATTTTACCATGCCAAGTTTGCAGGCGAAGCGAGGATAAAATGTTTTGACTATTATGGTACCTGCTTACCTGGAGCACCGATTTCTCTACAGCCGCACCTTTTTAAGGTGACATTTGCTTTACATTGTATGAAGCAGCCATCTCTACTGTAACGGGTTATGTTAGGAAGGACTCTCCTCGTGCAGTCAGACTTATACGGATACGGTAGTCGCTCATGCTGAAATTTTTGTAGAAATAGAAAAATTGTCTTAGATATTGCTTTTGTACAACTTGGTTAGTTACTTTGATCCAATATTTGTTTTACATACGAAAAGAAACAGAGCTTAGAAATATAAAATTTACAAGTTACGATGACTTTTCGCTGTTCCAAGCACAGGACACTGCCTCTCACTAGGATGTTTCATCTTCCCTTACCTGAAATCGACCTCATACCAGGAGATACTTAATCTCCTAGTTTGAGCCGTAATCATACCAAAACAAAATGAACCCATATCTTCGGTTGGGAAATGTATTAAACGAGTAAGTTATCCGGCTAGAATAACTAAGTAAATAGATACTCTTTCGACGACAAGTGAAGAAGGTTAGATTAAATGTCCGGATGTTACAACGCAAAGGTTCTTCCAGAAGATGCAAGTGATCAAATCTCTTCTCCAAACTGATCATTGTATTCAGAATAACTGTCAAGGTCCAACCTATCTGAGCTCGACAAGTACGAAATGAGCGAGTTCCACAATGAGTTATTGGTTTAGTTTGGGTCCTGTCTCTGCGATTGAGTTTTTGCAATATCTAGCATGAGTAAATCTATTAAGTGAAGAGCTCATGATTTATGTATTATTTGGTTTTGTCCTGTTTGTCTTCTTTCTCGTTTTGTACAATGTTTTCTCGTGTTTTTGCTGTTGTTTCCAAAACAACTTTGTCAGCATATCTTGAAGCAGTTCCAAGCCCATCATTCGTCCTCTTTGGCAACAGTAAGTTTCGATGGCTTCGTCAAACATTTCCTATCAATGTTTAATGTGTCAGGAACGATCTTCACAGGCGTACAACCGTTCTGTCAGACATAAGCATGTTTATCTTCAAACTGAGACGTAACCTGCTAGTGCATCGCGTATCGCACAGAAAAAGGCTCTTATCTGGTTCGCGAAAATAATTTTTTTAAAAAAAACTGAAACACATTTTAACGGTGCAGCAGCTGGGATATGACAAGACTTACCTTTATTGCAGCTATTCGTGCCAAAGCGTGTGATCCAGGAAAGACATTAAAGCCTTTATCCAAATTTACAATGGCTCCTGGATCATGTACAACAACTCGCAGCCCTCGCGAGAATTCGCTTACAGTGTTTTCGTAAGCCTGTACATCTAAAATAACACTTAGACCTCCTGATACTCCAGCCCGTCTTGTACTGCGCACTTTGGTTCCATTTTTCCCGGAGTTGAAGGTAAAGCAGCGACCATTTTTGGTAAGTGTTGGATGAAAATCGGCACTCGTGCAGTCCTGCGATACTGAAAAGCGACAGTAATATAGAAACATTTCGGCAAAGTCATGTCCGAAAGTTTCTACAAACTCTTCGGGGTTGAAAATTGGCTCCTTTGTCCTGTTAAGGGCACTGATTATTCGCTGTCTTATGGTCATGTTGCAATTCTCTGCAATTGCCCAGCCAAATGGCTCAAAGGCACACATTAGCGCTTGTCCACAACTCAAGGATTTGTTCACCTTACTTGTCACTTCACAAGCAGAGAGATTTAACCCCATTTTGTGAAAGTTCTCGTCATTTTCAAACATATTAATTTTCCTTTTGACGAATCGGTTTAGGTTACAAATTGTCACCGCAGGAAACGAAATTTCTCCATTCTCAGGGACAACCTCTGTGAATTCTGTGTTAAATGGCTTTGAGGAGTATTTCTCAATACTTTCTATTAAGAAATAGATATCAATCGCGATTGCACCCAAGAGAAGCAACAGCCAAATCAACCGACGAAGTCTTGAAGGGCTTTCAAAGACATAGCGAAGACCGTGAACGGTTGTATCAGACACAAATTTTCGCCATTTGGTGGCAACCATGCTGTTAGAGCCGTGTTGAATCGAAGAATCGAAGCCAAATCGAAGCACCTTACACTTCAAATAAAATATCTCTCTGGTGCGTTTCTACTTTACATAAGACAGAAAAAACCGCTGATAAAATTTCTCTCTGATGCGTTTGCACTTTATATAAGACAGAAAAAAGCGCTAATGAAATCTCTCTCTGGTGCGTTTCCACTTTGCATAAGACACAAAAAAACGCAGCGGAAACCATAAATAATTTAAACACAATGAAATCCAAAACAATCCTTAATTCGCCTGTCTTTCCTAAATGTTTAAAAAAAAATAGAATAACACAATCCCGTTATTCCTTCCTTCCTTCCTAAAAGGTTCCTGAGAAATATAACAACAGTAATACAAAATAAAATTTAAAATAAGGAAAAAGGGAAAATTGTAAATTATACCTTTCATCAAAATAATGACTTGACAGTTAAAAATTGAAATCATTCATTATTTTTATTTCCGGCAGTATTGAAAAAGGCAGATTGAGAAGACAAAAGGATGATGAAATGTGTGCGCAAGCCTTCTTTAATTTGTTACTTGAAACATTAGCGCAGAGAGAATTCGCACCTTTTTTTTCCCGAACGAAACACCTACACTTACCAATACGTTTTACAGTCAAGATGAAATTATAACGGCTTAATCACTACGGAGGAATGGACCCATACGAGGCTAAAAAAATTAAAATACTATTCAGAGTCAAATTCATTTGCAACGAGCAATTACAGTGATAGAATGCGTTCTGCTTTACAACCTAAGTTGGAGTGATTGCTCTCAATGTCTGACTTAGTTGCAGGCATAAATGACATACATAGTTCATCAAAGCACAACTTTCGCGCATTTGATCATATGCACATGTAAAATGTGCATTAAAAAGAACAAATATTATTATTAAAATTTATTGCATGCAAGTAATGACCCTTTTTTCACTACAATACTGCTTGTGTGTTGTAGTAATTAATTAAAACCCCGTTACAAATGCGCGTGGTTTAAATTGTAACCTTCACAGTTACTTAAAAGGCTATATGAGAAAGCCTTATGAAATAATTTGACAGTTTTCTGATGGTGTTTGCTCTTTATTTCCGATCTGCAAAACAAAACTGATTTCTAATTAAGACCTCATTCATCAAACTCTCGCATGGAACACGTTTCATTGTTTACCAAGATGGCAGGGAATCTATTTTTAATCCAAGTGGTGAAGTCCAAATTACAGTTTTGACTGACGCACATTTCAACGAAACAGCTGCCAAACTTGGCTGATGAGTGTAGTCATATCCCAAAGGTGCTACCAAAGAACATGTGAATGCATGCAATTTACTTAAGGTGGCTTTGGAAGAGTTTCTTTATGACTTTTTTTGTGTTTATTTGGTTTTTTTTTTTTTTTTTTTTTTTTTCAATAAATCTAAACATCATGCAGGTGCTTGAAGACTCTTTCACGATCAGCGCATGCTCAACCCCGTTGACATAGCTTATCACCAATACATTACACCGTTTATAACCTTGCAGCGCGTGCACGGGTCTGGACTGAAATAAGTAATCTGAGCCAAAAGGGAGATTCGCCGTATTCTCTTTGTGCTAATAGGCCGTGATATTTTGAATGTAAGTCCCTCGTGTCTGAGGCATAAGCCCGGCCTGCTACAAACAAAAATTATGTTGTGAGACTTTTGGAATTCATTTGTGTGAATGATACTTTGGATAATCACCAGAAAATAACTTTAAGCATACAATAATCACTGAAACGGCCAAATGACAAAAATTTGATAGGGAAACCAATTTCAAAGTGTTGGTATAATGAAGAGTTTTAAAATAGTAACCAAGCTGTGTGAAATTCTTGGTCAATGCATTCTCCTTTCATTTCACTCTGTTTCAGATTTTTCCCTTCCTGCAGAGTCTATTTTTTTAACTCGGTTCTCCTTGAACTTCAAGATTTTCCACAACAAATCTCCAAACTCAAACAATGTCAATATGCTACAGCCCAAAAATAGTCCCATATTGCCTCCAAGATCACCTGGTGTAGAAAGAGAACGAAAAGCAACATTAAACAACGAGTTTCGCTAGATGTTACATTCACATTACTTTTCCTGACTATCGTTTGTTGGTTGCGAGTTCTTTCTGCTCCTCTTGTCTTTTGGAGAAATTTGAGTTACTAACGACAAAATAATAATAATATTATTATAACAATAATTACGATAATGATGACCAGAATAGTGAAAATAATACTAATGATATTAATAACAATGATAATAAAATTAAAATTATAAATACAATAAATCAAAGTAACAGACCAGCGAGTTGGAAAGTCAGTCTAATCTTTTCAGCATCAACAATTCAGAAAATGCAGGGTTATCAATTTATCACAATCTCGAGGTAATCTCTTCAAACAAAGTTTATCGTAATGTATTGTGATACGCAGGCAGTGCTGCAGAAAAGCGAAAGAGAAAAAGATCGGAACTGAAAACTCTACACATCTCTAATTAAGCAGTTTTACGCTCATCTCCGAGGTCCATTTGTTAATCTTACACTAGGAAAAAAATGATTAAAAAGGCTAGAATAGAAAAGAAGTCAAGACAGTCAAATCAATTATCTTTGGCACAGAATTTTCTAACCTAAGAGGCTCTCAATACCATAACTTGCTCTTTCTTCCATGACTGTGTACCCTTGGTACTGGAACCCAATTTGAAGGAAAACCAGGTTTTTCCTGAAAATCAGAGGAAGACCACGTGGAAAAAGTGACAGCTAGATATTAATTCCTTTTAAACTTTCTTAAGAAAACCCTAAAAAAACTAAATAATTTTTAGTTCTATTTATAGCATCTCAAGGAAATTTCTTTAAACAAAATGTGCAGGATTCACATTATAATATCTGATATGTAAGCTGTATAATCGAGGATTTTCTAACAAAAAGCTCAGTAGTGTATTTCTCTAATTTTATGTACTCTGTAATCCACGTAACAACGAACATAGGTCCAAAACGTATCAGTATTATTGTCCGCTTCAAACTCTCCATGGTTAATTTCAGTTCTTTAATTTCGATTGGTTTACAAGGCACGGTATCTGAGCTAATATACCATGGACCCTTGGTGTAGGTGTACGTTATAAGCAGAGTAGTTTTTGATTGTTTTTAGCATATTCTGAGACATTTCTGTAAGTGCTTTTAACCGAAAAGACATTTCATTTACGATCGTTGTATAAAAGATGGTTTTAGCCAACTCGTTAGACGTACATCATCTCAAAAGCAGCAAGCACCGGGACATTACTTTCAAGGGCCAAAGGATATTCCAAAATTTCTTACATCTCATAAAACTTTGAATGTGTCACTTTGTTCATTTTAAATATTGGCAAATATGCCCGAATTTCCAACTTTCATGCTTTTTACACTTAGTCACCTCTGATATTCCATGCTTTTATTATAGCCATATCGTTGATGAAGTATTTTTGCAGCACCGTGGTCCGGGAATTCAGAGGTAGACACTTGGATCCTGTAATCAACTTCTTGGCAAGGCAACCCGCAGAAACAGTGATACGCATTGAATGACTCTGAGTGCAAGAAGAGTTCACATGGTATGAAAGAGAAGCATCATACACAAAAAAATTGTTTTACATTATAATCTCAATCAATCAGCCCCCTTCAATTCAATACTCTTCCTGGTCTAAGGAAGTATACATTTGCACATACAGCTGAACAATTTTTTCTAGTATTAAATTAAGATCAAACATGCACAACTACAACTACTCAAATTCTCTAGATATGACTCTGGCACTTTTTTTCCCCTTTTCATCAACTAGATGTTAATAAATCTATTAGTTTATTAATTACGACATGAGCACGTTTTCACACCTAATATCGTTACTTCACTAACAAGGAAAGCTCGGCTTATTGCACCAAACTGGGGACATTTACAACCCACAAACCCGTGGAAGGAGGACCAGTGAAAAGAGCTCAGACACTTTTTTGTTTTGTGTTTGTTGGACAGATAAGCATAGCCTTTGAACTTCAAAGAAAAAAAAATTACACAAACCTCTAGTCTTAGTGAAGCAATATTGGTGTTGGAACGTGCAGACTGGAGCCCTTGAAGGAACTGCGGACGTTGAACAGAAATCAAAGGAGAGCAAATAATTAACATAATAAAAAAAGTTATTTTTTTATCATCATTAGCGGTGGACTCACTAAGTTAAGAGCTTTATTTTGCATATCTCTATTTGGCAACGTGTTCCGTTTCACTTACGTGGTACTCCAACCAGCTTACATCCGCACATTTCCACGGTCTTGTTGGCAAGACATTGTATGATGCAGGCGTCCCTACTGTAGTGAGGTATTCCAGGAAGTACTCGCTCTGTGCAGTTTGTTTTGTATGGAGATTTGAGACGGTGTCCCTGCCAAATACAAGACAGAAATAGACGAGACTTAGTCCTAGCTTTATTCTGTTTTTGTGATAGTTTCACTTTTTGTTTGTCCAGTGTTTGTTGTTGCAGTTTTGTAGAAAGCTCACATGTCGATTTGGTAGTACTACAAGCTACATAAAATTCGACAACTTTTGGACTTTTATTAATTCTCCCTTTGAATTTTTATTTCTTCTCCAAGCAATTTCCAGACCACTTCAAATCTCGCAACCAAACCCCACAAAATGCCTTGCTCAACGGAAAAACCTCCAATCATATCCCAGAATCACGCAAATGTTTGTGGATCAGAAGTATTGTTGAATTGGAGGGAAGGGGAAAAAATACTTAAAATTAAAAAACTTACCTGTATGGCAGTTACACGGACCAAAGTATGTGAACCTGGAAAAACGTTAAATCCATGATGGTCCATGCTTAAGTACTCTCCTTGTTCATGAATGATCACTCTCAACCCACGAGAGAACTCACTGATGGTAACTTCATCCGTTCGAACGTCCAAAACGACAGCTAGGCCGCCAGAAGATCCTGCGACACTTGTGTTACGGACTATTGTTCCATTTTCTCCTGAGTTAAAGGTGAAGCAACGGCCACCTTGAATCAAATTAGGAAAGAAATCTGCTGATTTACACTCCTCCTTTGTTGCAAAAGTACAGTAATACGTAAACATTTCTTCAAATTCATGTCCGTAAGCACCCAAGAACTTTTCCGGGTTAAACACTGCTTCCTTGGTGCTGTTAAGAGCATCAACAATTCGCTTCTTGGTTTTGTTGCAGTCCTCTATAACTTCGACCCCATACCTTTCGTGGGAACATAATAAGGCTTGTCCGCAAGTCATGTTAGTGATGACCTTCCTGACGGCTGCGCAAGAAGAGAGATTTAGACCCAATTTGTGAAAGTCTTCCTCGTCGTAAGGCATATAGATTTTCCTTTTGACGAAACGGTTTAAATTGCAAATCGTTACAGCAGGGAAGGTAAGGTTTCCGCTCTCCGGAACAACCTCGGTGTATTCGATGTTTACCGGTCGGGAAAAGTAGAGAGCTATACTCTGTTGCGCGAAGAACAGATACCACGCTATAGATAGTAACAGAAGAATTAACCACACAAAGCGGAGAACTCTGGAAGGGCTTTCGTACACATAGCGGAGGCCATGTACTGTAGTATTTGATGCGAACTCTCGCCACTTTGTACTCATACTCCAGCCTTTTCGTGTCTCTCCCCAAGCATCACCAAAAGAGACTAAGCGGCACTAACGCAAGTTTTAATAGTTATGAGCTTCCGTGGGAAAACTGATGTGTAGTTTCTGCTGACTTCTCATGAAATTTTTATAAAGGGTATACAGATACGGTAGGAACACACTGAAAATCAATTATTGTGAAGGACTCATGAATAAAACCAACCTTCCTTAGCAACCTGTATAACACGTTTTCCTTTCAGCTGCGAATTGAGCCATCACTGCTCATCGCGTATCAAAGGCTGTCTAAGACATCTTTACAGCATTTGTTGGGATATGGTTGTGGGTGAACATGAATTAAAGGGGAAAGAATAAAGGTATTATCAAAATGAATGCGATTCATGGACGATAAAGGCGTTCTTTAAAACACATTTTTTAATCTCTACAGACTCTGTCTTGAACCTTGGAGGAAAAAAATTTTCTTGTTCTTTTCTAGCTCTTAATTACTTTTTCCCTTTGGAGGCCAGTTGTTTGAACTTTGTATGATGATCGTGAAATAACTGTATGATCACACACTGTACAAGCTTGAGCTAATGATTGATAATGACAGCAGGTTTGAGAATTATTCTTTTTTCGCAAAAAATCGAACGACAAGACAAGTTCTAAACAATCCTGAAAGCAATCGCGTTTTGAATTTCTTCAAATCCTCAGATTCTCTCACAACAAAAGAAAATAATGTCCCACAATTTTTCTCTTGCACACCCATTATTTTCCCTTGTTCACAATCAATAAAACAAAGGAAAAAATCAAGCCCATCTCAGCTAACTCGTAAATAATGAAAACGGAAAAATCCTACATATGTATGCTATTATTGTCTTTATACGCACGAAAGTCCAAAACTCAGTGCTTGATTGTTTTTAGGTACAGGATATTACTGTTTTGTAGCCATCCGCCGTTATGAAATGTTTCGGGGCGTAAGGAGGGAGGAGTTTAAGATGAATGATGATAAAGTGATGACTTTAGTGATGAGACAGGCTCAACATGGTGGAGCTATTACTTATGGGGCAAGACGATAAACAGGGGGACTAGAGTAACAAACAATGGCCTGATAAATTCACCAACAGGATCAACCACAAAGTATGAAAAAAGTCTTTTAATATTTTAATGCTAAACCGATTATAAACAACGTTGCCTGACAAATTAACGTAGCGGAATCCGTTGTCTTCAGTTTATCATTACAACATACTATCCTAAAACAAATACATGTAGATGCTTTCCTATCTTACACTGATATCGATAATTATACATTTCATTATGATAAGTATTCCTAGTTTTTTACCACCAGCATTTTCCATTAGCGCTTCACGGGACGTGCTTTTCCCGCTGTTCTCGCTTCCACACTATCACAGTTCCCTTAGGAAGACAAAGAAAAAAAATAATTACATTGAGAAAAGTTAATCAATTATTGATGGTTTCCTAACTTGCTTAAAATCGACTTTTTCATAATGGAATTATACTGCACGCAAATATAGAGTTCCTTAACCAGGTTGTACAGTTAAAGCATTGTCATTTTAAGTTCTAGCAGAAATTTGTAACAAGGTATATAATGAAAAGAAACAAAAATTCTTGAAAAACTGCTTCAATCACCCTGCACGTACGAAAAAAAAAAAACAAATATTTCGATGCACCGGTCTCTAGGATAAAGTAAATTGCCACTTCACCACCCTCCCGTTTTCCTTCCCCCTACCCCTCCGGATACTCTCGTCAGTCCCTTACCTCAGTATCACAGGATGCCAGCAGACTCTCGTCATAGTTCCAACAAACGTCGAGGACTGGTGCCGAGTGGCCTAACAGTTTATTCACACAAGGCTTCTCGGCGCGCTCCACATCGAAGAAATAGACGGCCATGTCTTCACTAGCACTTACTATGTACAAAATAAAAAACTATGAAATTATAGACACAAGTTTAAGTAACAAATAAGCACAGTTCTTTCTCCTTAAAATATCCTTCCGGTAACTGGGACTGATTTTTTTGTGACAAAAAATTCTAAACACAAAAATTGAAGAAATGTCTGACAGTCAGTTTGGAGATAAAAACTTAGATCTCGATGGTGGATGGGTTAATGAACAAGCGAGAAGGCCATCAGAATAAAATTTTATCATAATTAGGTATGTTACAATAACGTAAACTTGTGGATTATTGTTTTGGAAACAAAATCCTGATTATAAGATTAATAAATTGCAGCCATTGAATGAGCAAATGTTTAAATCTTTTCTTTAAACTTTTCTTTTTAAAAAGGCCCAACTCAAAATGTACCATCTCTCTTACTCTACTGAACACAAAAAAAATTAAAAGCTGGTGGAATGATCCACTTTATACATACCGACACAAGCGCCTTGTCTGAACGACATCAGGGGACAAAATGAACTTCTTACATGACGAGACTTGTGTTCAACGGCAAATGACTTTTTTAATTTTAGCCCACCCATATCGTCTACAACTCTGACAAGAAAAAGAACAGAAATAACCTTCAAATCCAAGAAATTATTAAGGCGTAAGATCTTCTCAAAGAGACAGTAACCAGAAAACAGGTGATCGGAATACAGTCGGACCTCCACTGTGGACCACTTCTCTGCAACTGCAAACATTCATACATTCACTCTCTTTTAGCAACTGCTACGAAAAGTCCAAAATATTTGTCTCGTTTCTTTCATTTTTACCCAGAGGCTAACGTTTATGTGAAGTGCATTTGAATAATGTGTTCACAAATCTCACCCATAGAGGCAAAGTAAATTTATGGCCACATTGACAAGTAGCACAGGGTCCCTAGCCTCACGATTCATCCAGCTGCGATATGAGATTGAAGTCACAGGACTACCCTCTGCTATAGACATTCTGTAAGAAAAACAAAAAGACTTATTACACCGGGGTCATGTTTTGCTTTGTTTTGCTATGTGTTTTCTGCTCTTACACCTGGTATACAGACAGAAAATGGGGTAGACGTGGGTGAAAATCTCTTTTATAACTTACCGCTTGGCTTTATGAAGCCGCCCAGAGGCCACATCAAAACAGAATGCGTGTATGCTTCCCTAAAATACAAATATATATCAAATAACAAATTCAAATAAGTTGAGACTATTAAGATTAATGGGAATCCAAAGAGCATCTGATTTAAAACACCTCACAACATGCAATCACTTTCTTTGTTTGGCAATTATTACATAAAATTTAACAGGGATTCCACTGATTTTTCTTACCCACAATCTGTAAATGGGTTGCAAAACTCACCCCACCCTCTTTATCCATCAGATGCTACGCCAAAAAAACATGACCTTCTCTTGCATGTAATAAGCTCCCTCCCTCCACTGTACTCAAAGGCTATTGTAATAACTTTTTTGTTGGCTTTACGACACTCTCCTAGTGGTCTACGCTTTCAAGGCTTTCATGGAAGCTGGAGCATGAAAACGAGGCCACCCAGTCATCCAAAAGAAAAAACCAACAAAATGGCGTCTAAATAATGACAGAGTAGTTCTATACCTTTTCATCGCCCACCCACACAAGAATACCAGATGAGTCAAACTCAACAGACTTAACCCCAGCTGAAACTTTAGCACTGCCACCCTAGGAGAAGACATAAATACAACTAACTAGTGATATCACAAACTTTTCATGTTATAAGCAGGGAGCAGGGGAGCAGAGATGGCACAGTGAGCTGTCCTGTGCTGTTCTATGCCACAGTAAAATACTATTATGCTATAATTATAATGTTACTGCATATGTTAAAATTTCACACAGCTTTATGTCATGATCACGTATCAACTCAGAAGTCTTTTCATTTCTAAAGGAAACCATCAGGGTTAACAGATCAAAATCAGATATGTAGAAGCAGAGGAGCACCAAAAACACTTTTTTTTCTCTAGTAAAAAGACAGTTTTTGAAAGCATGATATGAATAACCATTGTACACTGTACCTTAAAACCTTTGCCAGTGGACATGTTAAAAACACTGAGGTGACCCTTCTGATTTCCAGTCTTTGTTTAAGATTAAGGATTAACAGCATGATACAATTTTTTAGTTACCCTATGAATAAAGGGGATAAGTTTCTTAAGTGCAGTGTTGACTGTTGTGACATCGTAAGGAGAAATTAGATGCTGGTCACTCTCAAGTGTCACTGGTTAAGGCACCTCTAAATAAAACATTAAAGTCATGAGAGAAAAGAAAATGATCACCAACTAAAAATACTCTTTGGTTTTTCAACACTCTTCATGTTAGTACCATGGAAAATGTACAGATGGCAGTAAAGAAAATAAGCAACCTGATGTTAAGAAGAAAGATTTAAGCCTAATAAATACAATTATTAACAAATCAGTACCATCATGCAGTCAGTCTGTCGTGCCCAAGTTGAGCCCTTAGCCATTTTATTGTAAATTTGTGTTACTTTACACTTCCTTTAGATCAATCCATTTAAGAGGATACAAGCAACATGTTGTTATTCACAGGTTGAAATCTGCAAGCTGTCAAACCACAGGAATGACTGTCATTCACCACTCGCAGACACTGCCCAGATGCAGGATTCCACACCCTTGCTGTACCATCCAAAGATGCAGAGAGTATAAAGTCATTGGTAATTGACCAGTCAAAGTCTAATAAAAAAGCAAAATTCAATGTCAATGGCTGTTGCTGGAGTCAGAGGTAGTCAGAGGCTGTTGCTGGAGTACAAATGTACCATGCAAAATGTGAATTCTGCTGAGTCAATCATGTATTGGATCTTTGAAGAGAACCTTTGATTTTTGCAAGGGATCAAAATGGAAAGTTTATGAAACATTATGGGGAAATTTGATTTATTTTGTTCAAAACTTTTCCTTGACAGAATGCAGAGTATATAAAACATGCATACTCCTGAGGGGAGTGAGGCATAGTGATCATTTAATTATTTTTCATAAGGGCAGAACACAAAGACCTGCCCAGGCCTTCAAACCCATCCTCTCAACCAGGCCCCAGCTGTTCAAAGGTCAGATATTCACTGGATAAATTTCTATCCGGTCCATAACCCTATATGTTTTGCTATCTCTTATCCGCTGGATAGCAACTTATCCATTGAATGGTGTTCATTGGCCCTTCTAACAACTGGACCCAGAAGTCTAGTATGCTAAGGTGAGGCAAATACATATGATCAATGCACTGACATGGTTTGAGTGACAGTTATTCACTGTGACTGTAAGTACTAACCAAAATACTTAAACTTTCCTCACAGTTCAAGCTACTTGTACTGCCAGGGTTGATTTCTCAATTTGTCAGCCATACAAGCTCATTGTCCAGTTAACAATTGGTTATTAGCTTTTCACTTAGCTTTTACTTACCTGTTACGGCTGCTGTGTGTCCTCTCAGTGTACAAGTAACTGATGGAGGGGATGGAACAAGAACACAGACAGACAGTGTCCCATCAGCAGAACTACACCCCAAGCGAAACTTGTCATCATTGGCAAATTTGATTGCTGTGACTAAAAATAAACAAATGTATTTTATTCAAAAATAACTTAAAAACAACTTTCTCAGTAAAGATTGAGATATTGGTTGGTTTGCATTCCCAGAGATTGGAATTAATCAGTTGTCAGAGGTTTGGAAGCATCACTTTTTTTAAATTAAAGACACAAGCCTTGGTTGCACAGAAAAGTGCCTTATAGGAGACACAACATGGCAAAGGTATGATTCACAGTCACACATTGTTTGAATTTGAACCATGAAGTGGCTGTGACCCAACAACAATACAAGACTTCAAACTGTCTGTCAGAATTAATTGCATTAATCTGAGGGAAAGGTTGAAAAGGTTGAAAAATAAAAACAACCACTAACTACAAAACTTACATTCATATTCATGTGAGCAAAATTATTTGTGCTCCTTAGATAAAGAAATTTCAGCAAAATATAAGCTCCTATTATAAAGAAATTCCAAGGCTGTAGAAATTTAAGAAAGCATTTTAGGGACATTCTTACCACTTTCTGCATGCTGATCAAAGATGTGATACATCCCAGCAAAGGCATAATTCTCACCCAAACTAGTGTTCCCTGCCATCCGCCTAAAGATCAAAGTCAAAATACAAGTTCAAAGACATACCTGAGGACATACATCTATTAGGGACAAAGAAAACTAACGAAATTGAAAAGCAGGTTTAGAAAAACGTACCTGCTGGCTTCTGCCTTACGAGTGGGTACCACACCCCTTGGAGGTGATTCTGGAATATCAGCTTGAGGTAAGAATTTAAAGGAGCCTGAACTGTGGTAACGACGATGTGAAGGCTTGCCAGGAGAATGTCCCCCTTCAGATGGATCAATGTGCAAGGAATCAAAACTTGTCTGGAAGAGTATCAATCAAAAGAAACACTTCATTTAAACTC